AAAAAAAAAAAAAAGAGGCCAAAGAGGAGCAATTAACTTTGCTCAGCCACAAAGCCAATAGCACCATTGCAACAGCACGGCCTGGAGTTGAACTCAAAGTTTCTCAATCTGCCATATTTTGTCACGGTGTAAAGTAGAAGAAGGGTCAGTAGCAAATGGACACATCAGGTCTTGGGGATATGCCAAACACCGATTCTTTTAAGTTTGCAGTGCACAAGACACTATCTGAGAATGGAAAAGAAGTACTCACCCATGTCTGTTGAGTATGTTATGGGCCTGCTGCTCAATAAAGAGGTCGCCGGGTGACACCCCGTGTTTAGGGGAGGGGATAGAAGGCCGTCGGCTCATCTTGGGCGAGCTTGGGGGTACGCCCGTGGCTGTGTAGTCCTTAGCAGGCACTGTAGCACTGGACGACAATGATGTAACATCCATGTAAGTGGAGGACTCAGGAGCGGCTGCTCTGCGTTGATTCTCCAAGTTCATCAGTCTTTCCCTCTCTGAGAACGAGTCGACTCTGCTTCGACTCATTTCATAGCCGGTCTCGGGGTGGCCGTGTTGGGGCACACTTTGCCCTCTCCTGGGGCTACTGGTGGAGGCGTAGGAATTCATTGCGACATCGCTCTCTGCATCTGGAACAAACTCCGATGGGTTGCGCCTTTCGGAACCCTCAGACTCTTTCAGAGTACGAGTGTACCGGGATGGATGCTCCATGTCCGGCTCCTGGTCCAAAGAGATGCCGTAGCGCTCGGCTAGCTGCCGACGCCGCTCCGCCTTGTAGCGGGCAATGCGTTCAGCTTTGGACTCGAGCTCTGGAGCCACTTTGGTGGATGAGGATGAACCGGAGACATGATCGGTGCGATTGGAGGCTTTAGGATCAGATCTGCATTGAGTTTTGGACTGTCGCTCGGGAACCATCGGCTGCAGATCTGGATTTTCAAACCCTTCCATCCCGTACCTCTGCACAGTAACTACAGGGAGCACAAGTTGGGCCTCGTTTGTATGGCGACAACTAAGTCGTGAGTCATCGTAGTATCCTTACCACCGCATGGCTCGCAGGGGTCAGAGGCTCTTGTGTATCGTGGTGTATCCTCTTCCAGAAGTCGGTTGGCCACCAGATTGGGCAGCAGGGATGGATGCACCTCACCCTCAATGCCTTCTACACGCCGAGCGATGCGCTCTTTTCTAAGCACATGGGCAGGAGCAACGTTATCATCATCAGTAGACTCCAAAAAAAACAGCACAATAAGGTCGATCATCTCCCCACCTGTTCATTTCCCAATCACTCGCGCTTGTGGTGATGCCTTCAAATCGTTTCCTCAACTCAGAGACTTAAAAAGAAATGGAGAAAAAAAAAATCAGCCAGCTAATCTTAATAATCAAGATAATATATCACATAGAAAAGATAATTGTTCTTTTGAAAGTGCTGTATACAAATAGAAACAATTACATACCTTTGTTGAGATTAGCCAAGAGACTAACATCTGTGTCTTTCGGAACTTTGATTGGATCACCTTTTTCGTCAAAGGAGAAGTCTTTTTGGAAGCTGAGGGTTAAAGGAAAAG